AGTGTATATATGTACTTTTTTGTGTATGTTATGTATCGGTCGAAAAAAGGGGATTTTTCTCTTGTGTTGTTATTGAATTCCTTTTCCTCTATAACAACATTTATCACAATAAAAGACTTGCTTTAAGCAAAGTGCGCCCAAATATAACAACCGTTTACGAGCCAAAATAAATGTACTGTTGTTATTCTGGAAACAAGTTTTGTGACTGCGTGTGCGTGTGTTTGTGTGTAAAAAGTGGAGCGAGGCGCGCGAACGATCGATTGAATTTTCTGTTTACAGAAATCAGCCTAGACGGATGCGATATTGACACGAAAAAAAAACGCACAGAAAAATAGAAAGTGATTGCAGTAAACTTGAGCGGATTCACAGTGTCAATCAATAAACGGAAGCTATTTTGGCCCATCTGTTTGAATATATATCATTTTATCGTATCGACATTGATATATACAAATGAATAACATATCGAAGCACATGCCGAACAAATTGTACCATCAAAATCGATACGGGGGAAGCAAACTTTTGATCGGGCACACACGCATTGACTGACTGACTATCTCAACACGATTCAATTGATTAGGGAACTTCGACAATAAAATAAAATATGAAAATTCACTTAATGTCACAGCGGATTTGTTTGGGCTGGCCGAATAATATAGTCCGGGCGCACTGTATACGGGATACACACACATATATGTCGTATCGGTGCGTTGGCCCACATGGGAACGTGAATAAAAAATCAATCAAATAAAATCGTAACATTGGCAAAGCTTAAGCGCCAGTTGTTGTTGTCGTCGTCGTCGTCGTCGTCGTCGTCGTCTCATGGCCCAAACGCCAACAAATTTCCTATACGCACTCTAATCGGCAGATTATTTTTTCTTTTTCCTTCACTTCTGGCGTAACGCATAACGTGGAGCAAAAGGTTGAATGACAAAGTAATATATTTGCCATGCATGGGCAAACTCTGGGCCAAACTCTTGCCTTTCCTTAGCCGAATCGCAAACGATATATGGATTTCGTGTCTTTATTCAACATTTTTGTAAATGTGTACATACATTGAGAGAGCGTTTAAAACGTAAGCCTTCTCGCCCATTTATATTCAATTGCTTTTAAAAGGCTGCACAGTGCACAAGCAGCAGCAGCAGCAGCAGAGGCAACAACAACAGAAGAGGAAGAACAAAATCGAAATTTGTGCTGTGAAGCAATCGATTGTATAAGCGCACAGCCAGTCAATAGTGCTCCTATAGATTTCAGCTGCGATTGGAATTCATTCGGCGAACACCCACAAAACGAAGTTTTTCGATCAAATGAAAATCCATATTTTGTGTTTTTATATATCGTCATCGAGTTCATCATGTGCGCTCGTCAACTTGCAATGCTAGAAACATGTGCGCTGTGCATGTGAGCGTGACCGTAGTTTATTAACAAATTTCACTGTGCTCTTGCCTTTGAATTACTCCAAATTTCCCACATACATAAATATTGATATGATTTCTTCGAATATATATGCGTTGATGGTGTTTCTGTGGCTGGCTTTCATTCGTGTGCTCACTGGTCTCACTCTGATTGAAGCACGTTCGCAATCAATCAGAGCACTATATAATGCGCTTACATATGGTGCTTGGTCCATAAGCCACACAAAAGCAACAAACAGATCAACAATTTGTGAAAAACAGCATTTGCGGAAACCGGGCGCATTTCTCAGGAGAGCTATCAGTCGCTTTATGTGCATACCCCGTGTTTGTGTGTTTTTATTTGGCAGCGATGCTATTAAAACGGATAGACAGAGACATGTTTTTGAACTAACGAGACTGTAATTTGGTTTGCATGTGTGTGTTTGTGTGTTTGTCGAGGCGGCAAATTAAACTCAAAACCAAAATCCCAACAAATGCGAATCCGTCTGTATTAACCGAGCTCTCATTAACAGAAATCTCATTTTTAGCTCGAGCCCAACGTTAATTGGTGCGAAAAATTCTATTCAATTCGATTGAATGCACAAGCAAAAAACCAGCCGGAACGAGTGTGAGAAAGCGACACAGACGATGTCGACGACTGTAAAGAAGACACACAAACATCCAAATATGGAGCAGCATCAACGAAAAGTAATTATGGCAACGCATTAACATCAGGCATCAGCATAATGGTGATAACATGACAGTTATTTACTAGATACAAGAAAGACGGATAACCTGCATGTGCTATTCAGCTTGAACACTTAGTCTTGCTCATTGAGAAACGAGCTCGCTTTTCGCACTACATCACTGATACGATCGATAAATGCGCCAGTTAGTGAGCGGGGTAAGCAAGGGAAGTGTTACGTGTGTTAATGAGAATTTTAGTTGGTGTTTAGTTGTGATTCACAAGGGTGGCATTATTCGATGGAAACAAAATCTGGTTCACAAAAACACGTGACACGCAAGTTATGACGAAGCCGAAAGCCCTGCCATGCTGTTGACTGCCACACTTGAGTTTAGAAATATTGGTAACACATTTTCATAGCCCATGCATAACGATAAATTCCAATAACGGAAAATCGCAGCCGAACATATTTTACAGGCGTTCACCCAATACGTTTCGCGAATATTTCTGAATTCCGCCATCCAAACATGTGTATCGTAAACCAGCATTGCTTCAACATCATGCCTGCCATTGACGAGGGCGAGAGGTAATGTTCGCATTTCTGGCTGTTCCAGCATCATCCATCGCCCGAAAAAAAAATCTATACGTGCTCCAAATATACACAACAAACAAAGAACGAGAGAAAAATAGGAATCATAAAGTGCGAAACGCTTGGCAGCACATTTCCCGTGCACACACACACACTCAAACATTCTTTCTCGCTTGCTTTTGATTTTGAAACTGGTTGAATCGCGATAAATATTTGGTATGCTCCCTATCGCTTGGGAAAAATGTCGGAGTGCAAAAGAAGGGAACGCAATGAAGGAAAACAAACTCTCTCACTCACTCATAGTTCGGACGGAATTTATCGTCAGCCTAATGTACGTGAGCTTTTTTTGGGGCATTTTGCTTCGGTTGTTCCTTTATTTACATGAATTTCATGTAATTTACTTTTTCGATTCGCGTTTATTTAGCATAAACACAACAGCAAAAGTATGGAGTATGGCCATGGGCAAGCAAACGCTTTAGTGTACATAAGTGTGTTGTGATGCTGCTACTTATGCTGCTGTTGCTGCTGCCGCTGGTAGTGGAAAGACTTGACTGCAAGTGAACGAAATCCAGCGAGTAGCTGGCTGGCTGGCTGGCTGGCTAAGTAACAAAAGAAAGAAAAAAATTGTATTTATTTTCGCCTACACAAAATGGGGCATTTTGTAATATATGGTAATATAGGAATATTTCGGCAGAGCACCATGTAAACGCCGAGTGGTTCGTCAGCCTCTTACACATAAAACGAGAGTAACTTCCAATATACAAGCAAATTTGAAGAACTGTGTTATTTCAGTAAACAACGTACGAGAATGTGTGAATCCAAAACAACACAAATATCGATGCTGCGCATTCGGACTACTAACAACAAAATATATCCGCATTCATTGCAATCTTTGATATTTTGCGCGTCCTCCTCCTCTCTCTTCCTCCCGTTTTGCTTTGTACCACACATCAGGCCACCAAGGATTGTTTCAACAGCAATCTCCGACAAATAATCAAATCAAAAAACGTCCCTTGCTCTTGAAACATATGAAAAATGATGATAATGCCCAGAGCAACGATAAAAATTGCGAATAAATATATTTCATCAGCGAATATTTATGAATGATGGTCCCATATAAATCTACTTGATAGTCATTTTTCATACGGTTATTATGCATGCTCTCGTGTCGCTGACTGATTTTCGTTTCAGCGCGCATTTTTTCCTGCTCTCGAGTGTTTCGTTTTGTTTAGTTTTTTTTCTGCTCCATTTCTGTTTACTCATGTTTCTGATGGCCAGAAGACAAACAACATCCAATTCCGCCCGAATTTCGAGATACTCTCAGTTTGGTGTGTCAAGAATTTGATAAACTATTGCAAAGTGACTACAATTATTGTCTCTCCAATGCATATATATAGCAAAATTCTTTTCAACCTGAGCAAGCAGCGGAAGCGCGACGCGAATTGATGAAAGATGACGTTTCTTTGTTTGCTCAATGGGACTATTTTTTGTATGTAAAGTGTGGTACACGAATGCGAACCTATTTTTTGCCTATTTTCCGTGTGCCCATTTTTTTTCTTCGTATTTATGGTGGCACACACCTGAAATGACGGAATTCAATTAAACAAAATGTTTATGTTCGCATTATTTCGTTCATATTCGATGGTTAACTTTTATGCTTTCGCAGTCTTTCGAAACCATTGCAAATAATACAACCGAAAGCAAGGGAAAAAAACAGCTGCCTTTGCCACCGTACATTTACAGTTGGAAATTACAAATGGAATTGCTCGGCACAAAGAATATGTACAAATATGACTTTAGTTTCAAGCATTTACGTGTGCTGTATGTGTGCTCTGCAATCGTAACAAAACACGCACACATTCTCGATGGCATGGAAAATCGGCTTGAAAAATTCTCGCTGTTTGAAGAGGTAACAAAAAAATTAAAGCTCGAGCAAAGCATTCACATTGGTGATTCGATGTGTTGCTTCTGCACAAAAAGCGTGTGCTTCCATTTTCCCTTAGACACACAGAGAGTGACTCACATAGACACATACAAATATGCTGCCAACTGCAAAAGGCTTTCATTGTTTTTTGACGACAAAGAAGAGGAGGCCAACACGCACACACATATCCGATGGTGCATGTTTCGGTTGCGTGAGAGCGAACAGTTGAGTTTTCCCATCTGAGTTGATGGTGGAAATGTGTGCGCTTTTCTCACTTTGACTGTGATCATTTTCCATCATTGTCATCATTCGTATAGTCATCGCGTAGTCATCGACCGTTCGTATCGTTTCGTTCTGTTCCGTTCGTTCGTTCGTTCATTTGGCTGTGTGAAATATGAACTGCTTTAACTTGATTCAGCCAGCCTACGATGAAGCATTCGTTCGGTGCGAACTCAAGTAGCAGCACGTATCCTTCGTTCGTTCCGTTTGTCGCACGAACACCACACGATTCTACTCGTTTGAATCAATGTTCGCGCGATTTGCAAGCGTGTGTAGTTAGTTTTCGTCGTGGGAATTCACTAATAAGAATTAAATACTTTGAATCATATTGAACAAAGAAAGAAAAAAAAATACTCGGATGTAATCTCATTAAACGGCAACTTTTTGGTCGAGAATTATAACAAGTTTGCACCAGTTTTGTCAGCAGCATCAAGCACCAGTGGTCGAGAACAAGAGAATAATTCGTGTAAAAAAAAGGGAGAAAAAAAACCTCGTAACCACCAGCATTTTCATAAAACATTACATTCGTTTGCAGAAGGCGAAAACTTCCGGGGAAATTCTTCGCAAACTTAGAACGTGCAGGCGAACGAGAGATCGGAGGTTATTTCGAGTTTCGTCCGAAATCGGAAACCAAAAACACATTAACCACAAACCATTTCCAACATTCATCGAAATCATAATACCGTTCCGGCAGTAGAACAAGAGTGTGTTTAATTTGTGTGCGTGTTTTTGAGACTATAAGAAACAGTGTGGCTTTCGAATTTTGTAAAGTGTTTGAAAGCGATTTGTGGTCGAAATTTTCCGTTTGAGTGCCAGCACATGAATAACAACAAGAGCAAGACAAGTGCAAATATATTACTCTTTCAACTATCAACAGAACATTAGAGGGAAAGTGTATGTGTGAATGTGTTTTGCTTCTCTCTCTCTCTCTTTCTCTCGTCCAGCAGCTGATGATAGATTACACTCGGTGAACGACGTTTGAAGTTGAATGATACAAAGCATCTCTTGGAAAAAAGACACGAGCACACTTAAAAGAGAATAAAAAAACGCACACAAGCAAAGCGAAAGTGAAGAGAGAAAAGCGTAAAAGTAACACATACAAGAATCACTTTGTGCAAAAATGAGTGGCGAAAATGATACAGTGATTGAGTTGAATGTCGGTGGTGTGCATTACACGACAACACGCAAAACGTTAACAAGTGATAAAAATTCTCGGCTCAGCGAATGGTTTGATGCGAGCAATTCATCATCGTCGCTGGTAAAGGATGCCAAAGGTCGATATTTTTTAGATCGTGACGGTGTTTTATTCCGTTTTATTCTCGATTATTTGCGTGACGATGGCATTCACTTGCCCGACGGTTTTCGAGAGAAGCAACGTTTGCTCAAAGAAGCGGAATACTTGAAATTAAATGGGTTGCTGAAGTGCGTACAGGCGCTGAGTGACAGTCATCCAGCCGGCTGTATTACTGTCGGCTATAGGGGCAGTTTTCAATTCGGCAAAGATGGGTTGGCAGACGTTAAATTTCGTAAATTATCACGCATTTTGGTGTGCGGCCGGGTGGCATTATGTCGTGAAGTATTTGCTGATACGCTCAACGAATCACGAGACCCAGACCATGGTGGCATCGATAGGTACTCAGCCCGTTTCTTTTTGAAACATTCATTTTTAGAGCAAGCATTCGACATGTTAAGCGAAAAAGGATTTAGACTCGCAGGTAGCTGTGGATCGGGCACAGCGGGCTCAGCTGCCGAACTTAAACCGGGCGTCGATGTAGAAGAAAACCGATGGAATCACTACAATGAATTTGTTTTCATTCGAGACTAAAATCTGTAGCCGTAAAACCAAAACAAAATGAATCCAAGTTAAACCAAACAATTTATTAGTATAGCTTATGTCATGTTTAAAATGGTTTAGCAAATACTAAAATCTCTACATATTGAAATTCTATCTTTTTAATGATTCCACACATACGAGAAACATAAAAACAAAACAACAACATCACAGCCATGGATAATGGATATATTTTTTTTAATTTCCATTAAATGACACAAACCATTTAACTACTAGCGATTGAAAAAAAAAGCTCAAATCACACAATCGGTATGCAGAAACCAAACTCATTAACCGGAATAAATACCATTTCGAAATGGAAACTTGTCAAAAGAGCTCCAAATGAAATGTAATTAGTTGGAACGTGACATAAAAGAGTCCTCAATTAAACAAATATTAATTGCGATGACGACAATAGTTTTACGGTGCAATTATTTGTTCCGTCGCTCGTTTATAAGCGCTCGCTCACTTCAGCCCGCACACACACTCCAGCATTCATTTCGATCTATTTTTTTTTATAAAATCAATTTGCGCAAATTATTTGCTTATTTAATTGTCAATTTATTGCTCGTCACTGCATCTATGTGGGCCGCATCGATTTGAAGCTACACACATAAATGAACCGCATCAATGGAATGTCGACAGCATAGACGTGGTGCGAACGCACGCGATGAAATGGAATTTTTCTAGGGGCAAATAACAGACGAGAAAGAAAAAACTTCGTACTTTTATTGCCATACATTTACATTTTGCCTGTTGCTGCGTTTACTCCTTTTTCCCTCCCTCTCTCTCGCTCGTCCCTTTGCGGAGCAGACATTTTTGTTTGGTCATAAAAATCTCCTTTGTTACTTCTAACGCTGCTTTTTTTTCTACTTCGTTTCCACCCGTATTGTATTCGTTATGAATAGCTGTTGGAGTTTCAACTCTGAAAGCATCTTTATGATTTTCAAGTACGGATTTTATTTTGTGCTCTTCCTTTTTTTTCTCTACCCTTTGCACATTTCGTTTTTAATCATCATTCTTTTCGCATTTTTCCCAATTTCACCTCATTTGGTGCGACTTTTGCCAAGCGACCGCAAGAGCAAATTGTGGAGAGAAAAGAAAACACGAATGCCAGAGAGATACCGAGCGAAAGATGGAGAGAAAGAAAGAGTGGGCAATAGCAACAACGGCAAAGTGTCTCGACTCACAGTAATTGAAACTCAAATAAAAAGGGCAATTTTGTGTATGTGTTGGTGTGAATAGAGAGAGCGAGTGAGCGACAGTGAGATCGACATAACACATTCTAAATCCAGAGTTCAAAAGTCGTATAACTTATTCCATTTGTGTGAGCATCCATTCATTCTATCGCTCACTTACCACTAGATATCCACTATTTTCATTCCATTGATTGAATCAATTTTTTTTTCTTCCCTTTCTCTTTCTATGGCTGGCTAACTGGAGCTAAAAATAAAATTGAAATTCGGCCAATATCGTAGCCACACTTTCATACATGAATATTTCACTACCATCATTCATAGTCAATGCCAATTTGGTTCGACGAATTACAAATGACTTGTTAATGGAATTGTGAATTCAATCGACCATTTCGAAAATAAACTTTGGTTCGATATTAAATCATAAACTTTTATCTCGGATGGTAAACACTTAATCGTTTTTTTTTTCAGTCGGCTCGTCGGTAGCCATCGGGAATGCATTTTTGTTCATGTGATTCGTTGAATTGCAGATGCAATCGACATGATTTATTCACGTCTCTTTTTTGCTCGCTTCCGAGTAAACCAAAAATTGAAATGTTTGTTTGTGTGTGTGCTCTGTGCTGTATGATGAACTATTTTTGATGTGCACTAATTGCATGCAGTTAGTTATTCTTTGCTAGGCGTTATTCAAGTTGATAAAACATAATATAGAAATGACAACAACAGCAAAAGCGGGAAAAAAAACTTAAATAAATTTAGCTTTGTGAAAAGCAGAGCAACGAGAAAGAGTAAATGCTGTCATATAAACTTTGACTATAAATTCTATTGCTGAATTTAAAATACAAACATAAACTTTGCGATCCGCTCCTCTTGAACACAAATTGTCTTGAGGGAAAACCGGAATTTTCATGGCACACACTCGATTCGGGCTGAAGAAAACAGTGCAATTTTTGTTGTGAGCAAAATTCATAAGCGCGCTATGACACATGCCAAATATATATCATACACACACATGTGCACTCATTCACACATATTAATGAACCAACTTAAGTTTTCTTTGACACTTTTATCGTGCAAATCGAAAATTTATTTAGTCAGAAAACTCAATCAAACTTTTCGTTCCATGGCATTGCATCATTTTATTTTTCGGTAGGGTGAAGAGAAAAAATTAAACGAGGATACACTAAGAGAAAGTGAAAAGTATCACTGGAAACCATGCAGAAACTATCGATAACAAGATTTTAAAATCGTTTTTTTTTTTGTGTGTAGAAAATCAACAACAGTCGTTGTCACCTCAAAAGCAACTTTAAACTCGTTCAATTCGATTATCGCACATGAGCTAAATTTGCCTAATTTTCACCACAAACCATTCATGCGGAGATAATTGGTGCTACTGCTGCCGTTGTCATCGGTTGAAAACGGATTTCCGAAAAGTTAAGCAGCGTACGATGAAACGTGACCTTTTCACATTGGCAAATTGTGTTAAATGAGTTGGAAATTGTTTTTGGTATGATGATAAATATATGTGATAATTTAGTAAAAATTAAAGAAAAAAATAAAAGAAAAAACAACAAGGGAGATACAATTTGTGCACTCAAATGGTGTGAAATTTTTGAGTTCTAAAAAAAGCAACCGCCAACATCTTCGGGCATCTACTAAAAATATATTATGAACAAAAATATATATATAGACATTGTCTATTAGACAGATAACATCAGCATGAAATGCTAAAGGAATGAATTATTTCAAGTAATTATTATTAACATTATTATTATTGTACATGATGAATCTACATATATTTATAAGACACATCTATCAAAAAGTACATTTTGAGAAAGCTGAAATAAAGAGAAACACAACAACAACAAAAACTTTAAAATAAAATGACAATTGTATTCAAAACTATGCGATTCAATTTTAATGTTGCGTGTAAATTGGTTAAATTGCATGGGCGCGTGGGTTGATGTCCCCAAGGCGCGAGTATGATTGAAAAGCGCAGAACAACAACACCCATGGGGCTTTCAACACACTGCTTTTGAATGCGCTGATTATGAGAGCACCAACATCAGCAGCAGCACCACCATCACTAGCACCAGGACCAGCAACAACAGAGAGACTCAAGTGAAAATTTAGTGCACGATGCTCCACGAGAATAAAAAAAGGCGTAATAGAATCAGTGTTTTGATAAGTATGTGTGCACCAATTAAATATTCACCAATTTTTGCACAGTCACCGCTACACCGAGAGTGAAGCTCAGCAAAGGCTGAAAGATAAATTATACGCCCAATGAGGAAAACGTTACAGTTGTATACACGTACGTGTTGTCGGTTAACGGTTCTAGGTCGAGCGGAAATATGATTTTGTGCCGTGTATACGCGTCGCTTGAACCTTCAACTAACTATATCATCGTTAATGTCGCCGAGCCACATATACTGCACTGAATCTATAATAACTTGTGTAAATACATGGTGACGCATATATTATGCATGGCTTTTTGGTATTCATCATCTGTGGGCTACGCACACACAAAACAGTACAAAACATCTGAATTCCAAATGACATGAATTCCAGGGGTTGCATGCTTTATAATTAAAAACCGCAACATTTCTGCCGTTTCAATCTGATTCAAATCCCATATCCACCTTGGTCCGTTGACCATTCACATTGCTGCCTCCTCAATTCGTACACACACACACACACGTAACATTGCCTTGACATTTATACGTTCCCTGCTTGCTAAGGATCAGACATTCCCAACAGTAAACTCGTCGAGGTTTCAAGACAATCATCACAAAAAATATCACGTAAAATTGTGTTTAATTAAATTTACAACCGTAAATATGCCAGGTATGCAGTGAGTATGCTTTAATTGAAAGAAAAAGAGAACAAACTCCTCAGCACTCTTCACCACATTCTCGTTTTCGATTCGCAGTTGGGAGTCAGCATAAAATTGATGCTTTGTTCTTTTTTATATTTATTTTCGGGTTGAAATGGGTACTTTTTCTCCAAACCGGATGTGCGACAAGTTTTCTGCACTCGAGAAAAATGATTCTGGAAATATGTAATTGGTTCTAAGAATACATGTTGTTACCAAGCCCGCTTATGACATCGAATATTGGTTGCGAAACAAAACGAGCACATTCCAAGCCAAGAAGAGGAATCTTGTTTCGATTGCTGTTTCTATTATTTTCTTTGTCATGAATATGCACAAGCTTATGTCGAGAAAGAAAAACACATATGTCGTTTGCAGACTATATGTTGTGTACTACTCTCAGTTATTCCGTTCACTTTGTTTTCATTTGCAGCGAATATGTGAGAGAGAGGGATAGAATCATGACAATCAGGCGTTTTCAGTTCAACGCCGATCGAATTTTGGTTTTCATTTCTATTTCGATACTGATTTTAATCCAGTTCGGAACAACAAACGACGTGCTAAAATTCATCCCGATTATCATCGTTCTGGCCAGCTGACCGCGAAATATGTTGTATGTAATCGAATTATCTCGATAAAATCAATATTAAAAACGCATTTCGGTGCTATTCGGTCGCCGGATATGAGCGCTTGTTTTTGTTGCGCAAACAGTGTTTTTGCTTTTATTTATACACACGAATGTGTTATTGAAGTGTGAGAAAGAACAAATGCGATGATTGGGGAAACTTTGTTCATTTGTTGAATAATATTATTCCAGCTGAAATGCAATTTATTGCTGTCAAGTTGATGGTGTTGAGGATGATTCTCATAGCACAAAGTCAAAAACTTCGCCAAAAGTTGTTCCGAAAAAAAAAATTCGACAAAAAGAGGGAAGTTAAGTGTAAAGCTGTGGCAAACCAGATGTTTCTGCCCTGTTTTTAATCACAAACTTTTCAGTCAGCCTGGTTTATTGGAACAAAGAAACGCGGACGCTTGAACTACCTTTGGGAGGCTTCAATTCGGCCGTTTTCAGAAAGTCCTTTTTCCTCTCTTGTTTCCGTTCACGTTTTCAAATGGGTTTCGTTGAGGTTATTATAATGGCTAGTTCTGAACGATGTGGTCCGGTCATACAATTAAAACGGTTTCCAGTTTTGCCTTGTTAATCAAATTTTCACTGGTTAGTCGGTTTGGAACTCAACAGAATACGACACTGCCGACGATATGTATTTAATTTATTTTTAGTGACCTAAATCCTTAACTATTTTCGCAAATTCCATTGCAAAGCTTTTATTGAACGGTCAAGCTATGGTCGATGAGATAGTTTTTTTTATTCTTCAATAGAATATTGTTGCATAGCTTTCATATGCATAGAGCCAAACCAGAGAATGTATTTGGCTAATGTCAGCTAGCTAACTGAAAACATTCTGGCTGGCTCAGCAGCTGAATTCTATGCGTTGCGTTTATTCATCGCATCTGCAGTACAAAAATCATATATATGGGTATTTTTGTTTTGTTTATTTTTTGTTGTTTGTAAACAAATCTGCCTATCTTTTTGCATTGTCACTGTGCATTGTGCACAGTATATGTCCATAGGAAATTTGCAGAGGCAATGCAAAAAGATAGGCAGATTTGTTTACAAACAACAAAAAATAAACAAAACAAAAATCCCCATAACTAATGTATTGGCAATGTAAAAATAAATGGCGAAAATTTTACATTTCTTATGGGCCGTATACTATGTTCAGTGGCATGGGCAGACTTGTTGACAAATAACGGTACATGAAAAAAACAAATATCTCCATATATATGATTTCTGTACTACAGATTGTGATGAAAAAACGCAACGCATAGAATTCAGCCGCTGAGCCAGCCAGAATGTTTTCAGTTAGCTAGCTGACATTAGCCAAATACATTGTCTGAGCTCTCATCAATGCCATTTAATTATAGAATCATCAAAAGATGTGATGTATTGCTGAATCATTTAAATTATTATTCAATGCTTCAGTTCAGAATACTCTTGGCAAAATCTCCCATGTATTCATGTGAACAAGCCGCTCGAAATATCCATAACCACCCATAGTCCTATATGAGTTTCGAAACCGATCTGAATCCATTTTCCGTCATTGTTTTCAAACGACAACGATCCAATGTCATAAGACCACCAACATTTAGGGACATATTGGTCGAACATTGTTTCATAAGCCGCCATGTGGAAATGTAACGATTTTGGTGATTCAGTCGCATTGAATCTTTCCAATCACACACCTTTCACATATCTCTCTATACTACGAGAGACAATGTCCACTTTTCGCTCATAAACTCCAAGCTCGCTGGCCAAAGCAGAAACATTTGGATCTATACAAATAACAAAAATGGCATTTTTGTGAGCAAATACATTGAATTTTGGATGAATAGACAAGGTCGGCATAGCGAATCATATGATGCATATGATACGTTTCACACTGAATACCACGGTTAACCAATGTCAGTGCATGTTGACGGTAAACTATTATTCCACTACACAAACGATTCAATCTCATATCACATTTTGGGCAAACGTTTTTCGCTTGTTCTTCACCATATAACAATTGAATAAGTAACAACAAATTCGACACTTGTACGTTTTTCACCCTTTTTCACAGGGAGTTAGCAAGACGCACGTTATGAAGTTTTTGACTTCGAATTCGAAAAGTAAGAGAGATAGATATATACAACTTGTATTCACCATCTCTTTCGATGGAAGTCCAAAACCTTAAAACGTGCGTCTTGCTAACTCCCTGTGCCCTTTTTAAAAATGATTGCAAGAAATGTGAGGTCAATTTGCTTTATATTTTTAAGCAGTGGCAAAATTTTCATTAAAAATAATCAATAACAGAAAACTATACACACTTTTTCTTGACCAATAACGAGACATTTGATAGATAGTATATTATTACGGTTATATTCTTTGTTGGTATAATATTCACAAATCACAGCATCAAAATCATCAATTTACGACTGACTTTCAGAATTTCATGTTTTAACAAAGCTTTGGCCATTTACCTAAATTTGAAATTGGATAATATGAAGTATATTTCAATGCTAGAAATGATTGGAATGTGAACATAAACCAATACTTATTAATGTTCCATAATCATTGAGTCAATGACATTGACACAGCCCAAACAAAATAATCGCATACAATTCCGTTGATTCGTTGTATACAAAGCGAAAAACTTCATCAAAAGTGGCTTAAAAGAATCAACATAGAGGGGAAAAAAATCTGTTTTGGCAACATTATTTCTACCAGATGTTTCTGTCCTGTTTTTAATCTCAAACTTTTCATTCGGCCTAGTTTGTCGTACGAAGAAAATGGTTCTACTACTGCTGGGAGGCTTCAGATCGGCCATTTTCAAAAAGTTTTTTCCTCCTCGTTGTTTTGGGTTCACTTTTTATTGGTTTTCGTTTTAGGGTCAGCATAATGGCTAGTTTCGAGATGAACGATGCGGTATACCAATTGCAATGGTTTTTAGGTTTGTTATGTTAATTAAATTTTACTGGTGTGTTCGGTGAGGCTCTCGGCTTCAACAGAACACGACACTTTTTTTTCGTGTGTGTGTGGCATTGACAAGCATATTCATTAGTGAGATTTATGATGGGTCTGGATCGATTTCAGTTTTCCTGCTTATGTGTCACATCACATGAGCTCTGTTTTTTCTCTCTCCATTTCTCTCTCGAATTCACTTGATGGATGAAAAATTGCTGCCGTTATGGCACTAACGCATCTGCTCCCATTTCAAATCCACACAACATACGAGCAGACTGGCAGAGGCAAATGGAAAACGAAACGATGCACGGGATAACTTTGTGTCAGTGCACATATGGGCAAGGGTCAGTAAGACGAAACCACGCAAAAAATGTTTCTAAGGAGCAAAAAAGTATATTAACGTCGTTCGATCGCAATGAATTTTTGCATAGCTTAATTATTTCATAAAACTTATATTCTCTGAAAATTTTATCCAATTCGGATAATTTTTTCATATGAAAATCTACAAATTTTCGATTTTTTTCCGATTTTTGTAACGTTACCGACCGTTTTTTGAAAGCACAAGATTTCTACTATGCTTTTACAAAACTACAAGAACCTTTACATATTTTTGTAGAAATGGGCCAAAACTTTAATAATAAATTCGAGAAAATATGATTTTTATTTTCTTTTCTGGTTTTTGGAGCACTCAAATCGCACGTGTAACGTTACCGATTTTTTTTGTAACGTTACCGATTCTACGCCTACTGGGTCCAGAGACCACCAAAACAGTTTTTCATGCACACCCTGTATTTCTATCTTTTCTTTGATCCTTCATCTACGATATAATGAGTGACAACAGATTTATGCCTGGGTAGATTCGCTAATTTTCATAAAAACGTTGAGCAACCTCGCAAATCACTTCCAAAATTTTGTAACGTTACCGACGCCTTTAATCGTTCATAAGTCCAATACTATAGGTGATAAAAATAAAAACTTTTCTTTGAAATGTGTGGTATGGGCAGCACTATCATATGCACTTTTGAAATTTTGGGTTTTCATTATTATTTTCAGAGATATGGGCGAAATAGGCGTGCGAATTGTAACGTTACCGACCTGACCCTCGCCCATATGTTATCAGCTTTAAGTTTTGATGCATATAGTAGCACTGTAACTAATGCCATAAACGTGTATGCACTCCGGCTACTATCAGCCCGAACATTGAATGAGAGATGGTATTTTGAGGTTTTTGCGGTTTTAATTTGATAATGTATTGGTGTGCTTTTCGAAGAAAATGGAAAGGTAAGAAATGGGAAAAGGAAGAAGTAAAGATGCCGCCTCCTCTCACTATAAGAGGATCTGCATTTAATGTAAGTATATGCGTCAGAGTATTGTAAGCATCTTATTTTTGCATATGAATAGACGCAACAGATCCGTTGAGTGATGTTGCAAATCCTTATTTAAAGGTGAAACCACCAGCGGAATTTTCATGAGTTTCATTATATTCTCGAAAACCCTAAAAATACCACTCTAGCTAAATAATTTTCGATACACCAAAGATGTCTCGAGTGCTTGAAATGCACATAACATACGCAGAGGGTTGTGCGCTATCGAGATTTCCATATATATTTCATCATTGAAATGATGCTAAAATTGGAGTGAACTGATCCATTTACACCAAAACCACAGCCAAACGCTTAAAATATATATTTATCAAGGAGAACTTTCCGCTTCCATGAAGATACAAAGTGGTTAGATGCAGTCACCTGTGCAGAGCACAGAAACGCGATGGAACTGATGAGGTACGCTATTTTAAGTGCGATGCGTGAACGAAAATAGCTGAACAATGTTCAGTGAACATATATGTATATCTATGTGTGTGTGTGTGTGCTCAAGTTCAAACCAGAAGTTTTAATCTCAAGGAAATGTTTCGTAAATCAACTACCTTTCGTAATTATTCCACTCATTAAAATATCATTAGTTTTAATGCACATTCAACTGTTTCATTTTTATGGCATATGCCATATTTCATTCTTCGTATAGATTGCAACCATTGCGGTTTTGCATTATGAGTGCGATTCATTCAACTATTCTCACTTTTAGAAAATGTTAACGATGCTTTCGTAAATATTTTATGCATTGTTTTCTACACTTCAAATGTATGGAACGATGATTCACGGTATGAGTTGACGGGAATATAATTCGGTAACGAATATACCCATATTGACTTGAGTCTACTTTTAATTTCACGGATGTGCAATCTATACCGCCGACCATTGAAATTTAATTAAAATTATCAACCTAACATGGACCATCGAAAACTGTTGAGATTGCAAAGCAACAACCAAAATTCAAATTAGCTGGTCTTCAAATGCTACCTCGAATCGAACATTATTAGCACTTGCTGACAGATATTTGATGGAATTTCAGAGAATTCTACTCTGGTTTCGGCGTTATCCTTGAATCTAATTTCGAAAATGAAAAATCTAATAACAAGTATCCGATTACAAGGACGAACTGGACATGGGCTCTCTCTCTCTCTCACACACACACACACACACAATCCAATTTCCAATGTAAATGTGCACATACAATTTCTAATTTAAATTTGTTTACTCAATATGATGATTTTATTATGAGATTGTATGGCGATGGAATGTATTTGGTTGTTTGTGTTCATTTCCAACTCATCGTCCAATTCACCGGAAATTCTTTGTTGGCTTTGATTTCATGTGAAGAAAATAGTTTTTCAGTTTTTGGCTATTTAAAATTGCCTATTCTATGAATGGAATATTTGCAAAACCATAAACCAAATGCAAATGGAAGGTAAAAAGTTCCTCTCTATATTATTAATAAGGTGTAGAATCCAACTTTTTGTATTTTATTTTGTCAAAAAGCACACAATGTTCATAACTTTTGAAGAAAATTATAGAAAACGAATTAAAAATAAATGAAATGGTACGTCGAAAAAAAAACTAACACCCGTTCAACGATATCTAAAAAAGGCTTAATGGAAGAATGAAAAAGCATTCAAAACGACAAAATTGTACAATCTCCACACCATGCATTTCAAATTGTTCGCTTCTTTTCCAAGCAAATTAAGTATGTTGAGTACGTTAAATACGTGTGTAGAGGAATTCGATGGAAATCTGCATAGGAATGTCTATCGAATTGAATTTCAAATGATAAATCACTATAAATTTCATATTTACGCCCTAAAAAAATCACTTTTCAGTCCAATCTCGTTCAAAAACAACAAATAGTCCACGTTCCCCATTCCAATCCAGCACTCAAGCAACGGAATCTATTACGAAAATTTACGTAGAATCAAGCAGTCTGTTGCTGCCGTGTTACGTACGTGCTTGATGCACACAAGTGTCAGTTTTGACAGTTGGTTTCTTGTCATCAAGGCAGAAAATTTGGAATCAAAACATTAGAATCGAATAGAATTGTGTGTGCAAATCCACTGTTTGTCCCTTTCGTTTGGTTTTTTATATTTTCTGCTATTCCACTTGCAATGGATGTGTTGAATAAGTTTGTGAATACGGTGAGTAGCACCGTATCGCAATTGTCTAGTGTTTTACCCGGAAATCCTGTGTCAAAAGACTTCGAAATTGGTGAACATATTGCAAGTGCTGGACCAGGTGTGTGTCATTAACATTCCCAATTACCCCATGATTCAATTTCAATTGAAATTCGCATATGATCTTTCTGTCGTAGGTTTATGTTGGAAAGTGTACAAAGGAACAAAACGTTCAACGAAACAATCTGTCTCGGTGTTTGTGTTTGACAAAAATCAGCTGAAGTACATAAAAGAGGACCGAGATGCCATTTTAGAGGTGTTGAAGCGTGGTGTGATTCAGCTCACAAAAATTCGACATCCGCGAGTGTTAACCGTGCAACATCCTCTTGAAGAGAGTCGAGACAGTCTTGCATTTGTTACTGAATCCGTTCTAGCTAGTCTTGCAAATTATTTAGGCAACTACTCCAATATGCCTTCACCAAACGAATCCACACAATTTCCATCATTACATGAAATCGAAATAAAATACGGATTGATGCAACTGATGGAAGGTCTGCAGTTCCTACACACCGACGTTAAAATGATTCATCGCAATATTTGTCCCGAATCCGTTGTGATCAACAACGAAAATTGTTGGAAAATTTTCGGTTTTGATTATTGTTGTCTGTTAACGGTCGATCAAGACACAGGAAAAGTTGGCGGCACCGAACAATCAGCATATATTCAAGTGAATAGAGTTAGTTTACTTCAGCCGATTTTGGATTATTCAGCGCCCGAATGGATCATTGATTCACAACAATTTTGTTCAAGCGATGTGTACTCTCTTGGTAGGTGCTTCATTTCTCAAAATTCTATAGAGACAATTTCTTCAAATGAGCACTTTTATTCTACTCAATTCTATTCAACGATTTTCCAGGTGTTTTGATCTACAGCATTCATTCGGCTAACAAAAAACCTTTTAAATTATTCGGAACCAATTTGGAAACATACAAGGCATTTGCAATGGATCTAAAGTTTGGAAAGTATCCGCAATTGACGTGCATCCCTTCAGGTATTGTGGACAATGTACGATTGATGCTGCATTATAATCCAGACACACGGCCGAATTTGTACGAATTGCTAAAGGTAAAATTGAATCGATTCTTTTATATTATCGAATTAAAAGTCACAAATCTGTTTCCCTTCGCAGATTTCCTACTTTGACGACTTTGGCGTGAAAACATTAAGCTATTTGGAGTCGCTATACCAATGGGACAATTTGCAAAAGTCAAAATTCTTCAAAGGACTTCCACAAATTCTCGAAAAATTCCCCGAGCGCCTAAATCGTAAACAAATTCTGCCCTGTTTGATCAAAGAATTTGTGAACGCAACAATGATTCCATTTGTGTTGCCAAATGTTTTGCTAATCGCTCAAAATTGTCCATCGCAAACTGAATATTTGGCGGATATTCAGCGCCATTTGCTTCCTATCATGAAAATCGAACAACCCATTCACATTCTGCTCATATTCATGCAAAATATGGAACTACTGATCAAATTGAGTACATTGCAAGTGATCAAAAATGACCTGTTGTCGCTGTGCAATCGAGCTCTTGAATGCGATGTCAAAGAGATACAAGAGCTCTGTCTGAATATTCTTCCAACGATGGCCACACATATCGATTATGCCGTGCTGAAAAATGCCATCTTCCCTCGTCTTAAGAAAATGTGCCTTACAACACAAAACTCATCCGTTAAAGTGAACAGTCTGATCTGTTTAGGAAAACTGCTAGAATACTTTGACAAATGGTTTGCATTGGATGAAATCATTCCATTTTTAACGCAGATTCCGTCACGCGATCCGGCTGTTATGATGGCGATTATCGGTGAGTTTTCAGATATATATCTTCCAATGTACACTCAAGATAACATTTATTGTTGAAAATTTCATCAAAAAATTACGAAAATCTCATTGAATAATTATTTTAGCCAATTTTACTGATGAGGATTTATTTTTTTTGATTGATAACAATAATATTTTCAATTGACAGGTATTTTCAAGCTGATCATGAGCCACAAAAAATTAGGAATGACAAAAGAAATTATGGCCTCAAAGGTGATTCCATTTTTGGTGCCACTCAGCATTGAAAACGGTCTAACAATGCAACAATTCAATGCGATTATGGCAATGGTGAAGGAGATTATATCAACCATCGAAACCGAACATCGTGCTCGACTTGAACAATTGAATTCAGTGCGACAAGATACCAAGTGAGTTATAGTTTCCATTTCGTCTCCTCCTTATGCTGCTTTATTCAGTTTTGTACCATCATCTAATTACAATATTCGATCATCCACAATGTTCCTTCATATAAAATATTTATGGCATTTTATGAATTCTACAAATCTCATGATTCATTTTTTCCAGATCAATCGATGGTTCTTCTGCCCCGCAATCATTTCCCGAGTTTAATTTGAATGACTTCAAATCATCTTGTTTGAATGATGATAAATCGGCGGCGCAGCCAGCGAAAAACGTTAACGAGGTTTTGCTACCATCTTCGATGAGCATGCCATCGATTGCAGCCGCAAAACCAACACCACAGATGAAGTACGTTGAAAATATCTTTTCATTCGATATTAAAACTAATTTTACATTTATTTTTCTAATTGAAATTCCTCCGTTTTGACAGGAATTTGACATCAACTTTGAAAACGAATTCAATAACCGCATCACCGAGTTTTCCAACACAATTAGCATCGAATGTAACCACAATGGCGAGGTCATCAAACATTCCAGCGGCGCAATCATCATTAAATTTATCAAATAGCAATTTTCTTAGTGGCTTGGGTCAGATATCAAATGCGCCAAAAAGTGTACCGATGAACCAAATGATGGCATCCACACCATTCATATCATCGGGTCCGTTCCAGAATAGTGCCAATAGTCTATCAACGCTCAGTCCCATGATACCGAATCAGTCGAATGCCACAAAAAAGAATGGACAAGACAATACGGTTGCACTATCAGCACAGGAAATCAACGATTTTCTTAGTTAGATTTTCATTTCCATCTCGACTGGCATTTAATGCAACTAAGTTAAAAGAAAATATATGATTTTTGTTTTATTCATTTTTTGGCGGCTTTTAATTGAATGCTTATCTAAATTCATTCCGTATCTTCATTTGGATTTTAAGTGATATTTTGTGCATAGTCTATTCAACACTCAAAATAAAACTAAATAAGTTTTACATGGAAATGAAAAGAGTTTTGTTGTTGTTGATATTGAATCATGGCGTAGAAATAGATTGCTAATCAATAATAACCTCGTTATCTTACTCGTTGAGACAACAGAAAATCCTCCAACCAATTCAATGAGTTGCAAAAGCGGATACGTGAACCACAAAGTTCATGTCTATGATAAACACAACCGATTGTGAACAAGCATAAGCGTGTCTATTGCGTGAAGTTGGTTGCACTTTGAATTATCAATATTTGAAGCTTTTTATCGGCAGTTGTTTTTAGTCCACAGTAGCTGTTATTTATTAGCGAATGAAATATTTATCCATTTACTAGTTTTAGAAACAATGCCAAATGCAATTCATTAGATGCATTGGAAATGTAATATGATTTTCCATTAAAAAAAACAGCTTAAATTATTTTTATTAAATTTCAATCAATGAACCAAAACTTATTCAAAATATTTCATGAGAGATAAATTCCGTCACACTTTTTGGTGCCTTTATCGCGCAACGACAATTAACATTAAATAGTTGTAAATAAACATGAGCCGCGAATTTCAGTATAATTTGATTGCTTCAAGATCCGGTTGGTAGGCCGGTTATGCATTGGAATTTGGTGAATTAAATTGGTTTTGCTTGGTGGTAATATAAATCAGTAAAGGTCAAATAATACTCATCAAAAGTGTTTGTTTTGTTGTTGTTGTGCATTAGATGTGTTCGAAATCGCATTTAATCCATGGGCACTATCCAACTGTGATAGTCTTGTGTGTAGCAATCACCAAAAATAGTCTTTTGGTATTACAGCAATCGAATTTTGGCTCAATACTTATTGATGCGTACACAGCATGAACGGTGTAGATTCTCGCGGAATGCAATGCATCGAATTAATGAGCAAGAGCCGAACAATGAACAGGAATATAATGTGCAACGGCACTTCGAATCAACGCGTTCGATACACATTAATTTTCAGTGTTTATTATCCTTGCTACATCGTAGCTGTTGCTGCTGACGCACGACTATCCGAATGGCAATACATTGTAAAATGCTTTACACGTGTTCATTGCTGATTTTATTACATTAATTATGAGCCGTTGTCTAGCCAAATGCATATTTCTTCGCTGCCACACAACAATATTCATCACTTGAAAATTTCAATACAAAATGAATGAATGTTAAAAACAGAGGAGGAACAAACTTGTTAACCCATAAGTAAATAATTTATATGCATAGTAAATGATTTATAGTTAGATATTTTTCGGTTGAAATTGGAGTAGAATCCACATTTCATGGAGCTTGGTAATGGCTATTGTCATGAAAGAGAGACTGAGATTTTCTGCAAAAACGTTGAAATATGAAAGTGATTAAAAACGGGAGCGTTTGCAGTTTTTGCAATGGAAATCTAACAACTCCGCTATTTTTGCCACTCGCAGAATACTGGACGTATGAAAATTAATAAATAGTTCGAACGGTATTTGTATTCAATTTCTTTCATTTTTCCCATTTTCATTGCAAATTCATTCAGATACGAACTTCTTGTATCATCATATTTCATTTAGATAGATGCAGCGGATATAAATCGATATATAGTGATTTTTCGATGTGATATTTTTTGAAGGAAATTTTAATCAATGTACAATTTGGACCATAAATTCTGTTCATTAGTAAGCGAATTGAATTTAATTCGATACCTCAAACGGCATCAGGGTGATGATTTTGACTTGCGGCTCTTTTAATTGTACACCTGCGTTCTGTGTGCAACGAAAGTGGAAAATTCACCAGAACACGTCGTTCAATTCGTGTTGACTCCTCGATTCGTGTCATTGTGTGTATATTGTCCATTTCATTGATAAAGACCTGATGCCACTAATTTTGTGTATCGATACGATGAAACATCCACGCGACTCAATTTCATTTAATAATTAAAGCGATGGACATAGGAGAATATTGTACATAGGAAATGCAGTTGCGCCAATGAACGCATCGCTGGATTGAAATGGTAATGATGATAAATGACATCTAAATGGATGCCCAGTTTGAACTGTAATCTATGAAATTAGTTGTGTGTGTATATGTGTACGTTTTAACTCACACTCGTAGCATTATCATCATCATCATCCGTGTACAGTGACGAAGACATATAAGATTTACCGTATCAATTACAATACCATAACACCATATCGATGGAGTAACAGTTGTAACTTGGTCAACAGAAATTTTTTCGTTTCATCTCCATTTGAAGTTGGTTCATTAAGTAAATATGGAGGTGGTAGCATGCGTCATTTATGTCCATTCTGTGATATCGAATAGTTTTGTGAATTTAGGAGGTTGGTGTGAGTGACTGAGAGAGAAAAAGAGATGGAAACAAAGAGAACAAGGAAGAGATAGAGTGAGAAATTGAGACAGACAGAGAGTAAAGTGACATGGGTGGTACGAAATGCGGTCAAAGTATGAGCATTTTTCAATGGCTATTCATCAACCGACTTGGTAATAACATGACAATTTTCTATGCACATTCGAACGACACAACCCATACGTACTCCGAATGCCAGTTGTAACTTTGTAACATTTGAAACATATTATCGAAGCACAGATGGTTTTTATTTATGTTTGAGCTCGCCTCGATTTGCATGTGGCAACGACGATTCCGGTGTAGAGTCGGCCATAGAGAGAGAGAGAGAGAGAGAAATTATTGTACATATTCGCCCCATAGCAATGCTGATGTATCAATTTACTTGAACCGTCTGCTTCATTCACTAATTGGAGTTCAAATCGAGCATCGAGCTGTGTGCTGTATTGTTTGTCAAACTAGTCGTAATCCATTTAAAAGTGATCGGGATATGAGGAAATTCCCATTAAAAAATATCTCGCAAGAAAAGCTGGTTTTGGCCAGATGTTAAACTATTTACTGGCTCAGTTTTGCAATTCAATTATACGATATGCGCATGATTACAGTTCTCATGAAGTTTTATAAGAAAATTGTAATCGTGTTTTGATCCTTTTCGGTTGCTATAATAACTCTCTTAATTTTGGATTAGCCCAGGAAACATGTCGAAATGCCTCGATTTCTAGTTTACGACTTTGTTTCGGCTCACAACACACACACGCGCGCATCCTCGCTCTCTCCTCCAATATGATCACGTACGATGCATAGAGCATGGAACATTTTTCTTATTTATTATACTTGAGAACTTGGATTGAAAGACCTCTTCGCACGGTCATCCAAAGGCCAACGAGATGATATTTTTACAATCGACAAAGTAAAATGAACCGAAAAATGAAAAAAACTGTTTTTGTAATGGAATAAAAAAAAAACGAATTGATTTCGTGTGATAATGTTAAAAAAAAAAGAAGAAAAACACATCGATAATCGTGTAGAGAGACTGAAAGAGCGCCGGAAATACAACATCACCCTCTCTCATTCAGCCACATGTCAGAGAGCCATTGAGTGAGCGTGAGCCGATGAACCGAAGAAAAGAAAAATTGCGAAGTCAAAATATATAAAAACATATTAAAAAGTTGGCAGACGTATCCTTTTTCCCATGCAACTATTTTCACGCTAAACCGTTGCGGGTAATAGCGAATTTGCGAAATCATATTTCCATAACGCATTCGCACACGAAGAAGAAAAACGTGCAAGAAATACACAGCGAACAGCAGCAGAGGCAAACCAATACCGACCAGAACTTACGAAAATAAATGTACTTGTGCGGTGGCTGTCGGCTTCTTTGAAATTTATGTAACTCGTAATTTTCCTTCTCTTCGTTTTATTTTTTTTTCTTCATTTTTGACAGAGTATTTCTTTTCCCTTCATTTCGTTCCAACCAGCGGTATATTTCGATTTGTGTGCCGTGTGCGCGAGAGAGTTGAACATATTTTCCTTTTCCGTTTGGAATGGGCTCAGTTTTCCTTTTTTTTTCCTTGCATCTTTCACTTTTCGGCATATTTTGCATTCACTTGATATTCGCTTTTATGGTATGCCACGACTCGGTATCATTTTTTTTCTCACTCTCTTTTCTTTCCTTGTCAGAATCATTTTTCCAGCTCTTGTTCCCGCATTCCGGCCGCACACACATCTTAGGAGTTACTTACAAAATTGATGTCTACATTAAGTAAATAAATGGTATCAATTTGAAGACGATTTTTGGATCATTTACATTCAAAACGATCCACTTCGATGCGGATTGAGAATGTGTCTTTGCATACGTGAAACATTTTAATTCAACATATGGGCCGCCGTTGATCTGTATCTATCGCGTGCTTACAATGCTGATGATTATTAATGGAAAAATGAGTGCGCTTTCGTCGTCATCGTCATCGTCGTCGCCACCGCTACGTTTCCCCTTTTCTGTTGGCAAACGAAATTTGCGTGCACGCCTAATGCCTTTCTCTTTTGATCTGTGTTTGTTTTTGTATCATTTTTTTTGCAAATGCCTCCAAGTTAAATGCTTGACATTTCCCGCACAAAAATGTCGAACTGTAATCAACATCCATCTCCTTAGACATTTGCGCAAAATAAAATAGAGTCGTTTTTTTCAATTGCACTCAATGTCGGAAGTCGGAAAGGATCAAACGTGGTCTCAACGTGAATTAAATTGATAAAGCTCATTGAAGCATTCGGGGCAGAGAGGACGGTTTTCGTCATGAGCAAACCACAATTATTCCTTTTTCGCATGATAGTTTTGGATTACCGAAAGAAATCTCCTCGAGAATTTATTGCCAATTATTCGGGAATAATGATGGGAAATCTCATTCGAAATATGATGCCATTTATTCTGAGCGCATCATGATTCGATTGCAAAATGCCAACAATTTGATGATGGTCTTGATTGAAAGCTTTGAATATTGAACTCTTCACCACAAATTAAAATGTTAAAATATTGTGGAATCGATTGGGCTTTGGGAAATCAATCGAATTTGAATGCTAGGTAGAGTATCGGAAAATTACGATGAAACTGACACATTTTACAAATTGAAAAGCAGTAAAATAATGAAAAAGTCCTTTATACTAAAAAATTTT